ATTCTAAGCCACTTGCTTCACATTTTAAGTTGCCAGCGGTCAGGCAGATGATGTAGTAACGTAGTTGTTGCTTGCACACATTAGGATCTAATTTTTCAGAAGGGGATTTCTTCTTCATCCACTTCCACCTTGAGCTATTTTCAGGGTTGAAATGTAATTTCAATTTGGATTCTACCTTGAAGCTTAAAATATCTAAAAACTACACACTCTGTTGTAGTATACAGAATGAAGAGCACTGCATAAATAGAAGGTTGCCTGTCACAAACCAACTAATGAAATTTAGGATGGTGGAAACCATCAGTTCTCTCAGAAAAAATGGTGGTAGAATTTTCAAAACCCAGAGAGGGAGGCTTCCCTATATAAAGTCTGTGCAGAAATCCTGAACGAATACATGACCGCAGTGGAGGAATACTTACTTATCTGGTTGGAACTTTACTGCTGGCAAACTTTCAAGAGCAGCTAATTATTTCTGAGTGATACATAATTAAAAACAATCAGAACAAAAACGACTGTAAATACTGTCAAAACACTTCTTCCATATTCCTTGCAATTATATATATTTTTTTTAATTTTTTAGAAATTTTATTGGGAAACTGTGTTTTTCCAGGACCCATCAGCTCCAAGTAGTTCCAATCTAGTTGCGGGGGGTGCAGCCCATCTATAATAAGGGGGGCAGGTGCAGCACATCATCCCATGTAGGAATCAAACCAGTAACCTTGTTGTTAGCTCAGGTCATCTTCAATCTAGTTGTGGGGGGCACAGCTCACTGGCCCATGTGGGAATCAAACCGGCAACCTTGTTGTTCAGAGCAGGTGCTCTACTCAACTGAGCCACCCCACTGCCCCTGCCATTATACTTTCACTCCTCATGATGTTTAGGGGGTGAAGAACACCTGCATGCGCTATTAAAAACGCATGACTGCAGGTGGTCAAGACCGATATAGAGACACCCTTCACCCTGAAGGTGAAGGTCAAAACTCAATTTGATTGCAAAGCAGAAGAAAATAATCTGGATAAATATATGCTGCGGTGTCCTTTAGCACTTGAAAAGCTGCTACTAAATCACTGGTGTGACATAGAGCTGGTGGAAGCTTTCTTTGATTTGAGGAAAGGAGTGTCACTAGCTATGTCATCTTTAAAATTACAGTCTTTCCCTTAGAATAAGTGCCTGAGGACTGACATCTTTGTTTTGTTCACTGGAATAAACCCCCACCCCCCGGGGGGGGGGAGCATAGCCCATTACCCAAATCATAGACAAAAGGTGCTCAGTAAATAGTTGTTAAATAAAACAAGCGAGTTCTTGGTTTTATGTTGCAAACTTTGACTCACTTTTACCTAAATTTAAAAACACGTGTGAGCAAACTTGAAAAATCTGGTATCCCACCCACTTCCATAGCGCCCATGCACTCTGCTTCTTCTCCCGCGGAGAGGGTGCTACGGAGCCGCCCTACATCTCATCCCCTTAGTGGTCCGTCCCCTTCTCTCCGACCTTGGCCGAAGCAGGGCTCCTTGTGCTCTGCTCTGCGGAGAGTCACGCACTGAGTTACAAGTGCCTTGGTTTTCATCCCAGTCTGCGAGAAGGAAAAACGAATCCAGCTAACCCTTGGCCTGAGAACATAAATCATGAGTCATAGATTTGGGGGNCAGAGAGGGAGACAGAGAGAGAGGGAAGACTACTTACAGGGACTCCTCTCTATCCGAACTGTTTGAAGAGTGGAATCCTTTGTGGAATTAGGCTTGGAGTCGATGAGCAACCTGTTCCATATACCTGAAAAACACACACACTTAAGTGACTACATTCCATGACCACTCTCAAGTCTTGACCCTCCCCATTTTCCAGGACTTTTTTAAAAAAAGCACCCCAAGTTCCAGTACAACATTTTAGTTCTGTATGCACATCTATCTCCCCTTTCTTAAGCCTGTCTCCTACATCTCTGCGTCGTCAATACTGAATAATAAGTGCATATTAAACTGCACCTTTCTGGATCAGAAATCCATCAGTGACAAATGTGGGTTTGCAATGACAGAATGGAGCAAGCAGCGCAGAATACAATAATGGCTAAGTGAAGCCAGAAATGGTTACTGCCTGCACTATATTGGGCCAATTACCCAACCTCTTTGAGCCTTAGTTTCTTCATTTGTAAAGCATGCCTTCCCGGTGAGTTTCCCTTCAGTAAAGATGTCCAACCTAGACAAAACAGCCCTTTGGGGAAATTTTGTTCCCCCCACTCCATCTAGTCAGCCTCATCATTTGCTATTCCTCAAATCAACCCAACTCTCCAGCCCATTTGAGCTCAGAAAACAGGACTTGTTTTTCAAAACGCAAAGCTTTGTACACCCTGTTTCCAACGCCTGCAAAATCTCACTCACTCTGGTAGAAAAATCCTGTTCACTCACAAAGCAGAGCTCAACAAACATTCGTTGCTTACTACTTTAGGCCTAACAACTGGATTAGTTAGTGTAAAGAGTTTGGACTCTGTGGAGTCAAGCAGTTTGGATTCAAATCCCAGCGTTGTTCCTTTCCAGCCACAGAAGAATCTCTGGCGAGTTGGTTCTCTGTATGATACACCACGACTGTGTTTCCTCATCTATAACATAAAGGTAACAGAGCCTTCTGCACAGGGTTATGTGAGGGTGTAAATTAGTTAATTCCTGGGGCATAGTAAGCACTACATATGCTTTGGCTATTATTACAACTCCTTCGGATGCTCTGGGTTCTCACAGAACCATTTCTTCAAGCTAATATTTACCTTTAGGCACATTCTCTGTCTCACAAAAATTCTATAGGTACTGCTACCTCCACTTTCCAAACGTGAAAAACAGGGCGTTGAGAATGTAAGTAACTCTTAAAGTCAGCCACTGCTAATTATTTGGGGGCTGGGATTCGAACCCATGATTTTAAATTCTCTATTATGGTGTGTGAAGTCCTGCGTGGATTCCCTGGACTCACGTCTCCCTTCACAATAGAGCGGAACTAAGGGTTGGTTCTGCGAGCACGGAGAGGCGGGGATGTGGGTAATTCGTAACAGTTAATATGCTCCCCACAAGCCAACTGCCTGGACTGACAGCAGACCCTAAGGCCCTCCCCTTATGGGAGGTGTCTTGCGCCCTCGGCAGAGTGGGCGCTCAGTACTATGCGGAATACAAGAATCACCCCCGGCCCAGCAGCCCGACGCCTGCCCCCATCCCCACCCTCACCCCCACGGCAGCTGGCACGCCGGAGCCCTGCGGTCACCCCCAGGGCTCCCCTCGGCGGTACCGGGCCTAGGCAGGGAGCCGTTCCCCCCTCCACCTCCTCCCGGCTGCTCCCCGCGGCCCGCCGCACGTGCNTCCTCATCTGAATTCTCAGAGCCATAGGACCACACGATTCAGCAATTAATTATATCTCAATGTTTTCTTTGGGTTTTTCATATATCCCCTGAACTGCAACCTCCTAAAAGGCTGGCATTCAACAAAGAGCAAGTTAATATGGAGTCAGTTTGACTTTATAGTTAAGTACACCCGGCGGTGAGGCAGACACGTTATTAACAGAATCCCAGTTCCATCTCTTACTATCTGAATTACCTTCAGCATGTGAATTAAGTAGTTGTTGTTTTACCTGTTCAACATCTGTTCCCCTTTCTTCTGATAAAATAACCTCTTTCTTTTAAGCTCTGCCACTCTTAGTCACTCATGTCCCTCACCCCAGGTATGCCTACATGCCCACAACCTCGGCCCCCGTGATTTGGTTCAGGTGACATATACAGTGACACTGTGATCTAGTCAGGCCAATAAGAGATCAGGCTGGGACTCTGTTTGAACTGTTGAGAAAGAGAGACTTCTGAGTGAGCGTGTAACTGAGCAAGCTGCTGTACGAAAGGCTGGAGCTTCTGAAAACCTGGCCAACTTGCCACAGGTGGGGAAAGAGCCTGCTCTGGATTAAACCAGCACCCAGGAAAGCAGAGCTCAGAGATGCAGAGCAAACTCCTGATGACACTGAGCACCTGGATGCAAATGTACCCAAAATCACCAGGGATTTTTCCCTAATAAACAGGACCCGATATAATTAATTATTATTATGATTACTTATTATTATTATTATTGTTATTATTTTAATTAAGGCAACCTGAGCTTGGTTTCAGTCACTTACAACCACAGGAGTCCTAACTGAAATATTTAATTTGACCACTTGAAACCTCAGTTTACTCATCTGCGAGACGGGTGATAATTGCCAGGTACTATGCTAACTACAGGGGAGTCAGCAAACAAGGGTAACACTTTCTCTCCCAAAAGAGGCCCAGCACGTAATTAGCTCAAAACTTGTCACTGATACATCTAAACAAGTAACTAAACTATCCAGAGTATGGAAAAAAAAAATGGTGGTAAAAGTCAAGAAATGGCTTTTAATTGTAAAATAGGGCTGCTCGAAGGATTAAATGAAGTTGCAGATATACAAAGCTCCACACAGTGGCTGGCACATACTAAATAATGAATAAATGTGACCTCTCATGCCCCTTCAGATAGAAAGAGAAATTAATTTTAAAAGTAAATTCTGTGTCTGCAGATTTAAATCTATTACCTTAAATGGAGGATGAGACCAGGTTTTGTTCTGCTTTGGTTTTTAACTAATGGATCATGTGGAGCAAAACAAGGACCTGTATGTGTGGCATAAACCATGATTCTGAGAATCCAAATATTTCTGTGGTTCTCTGGAAAGAGTACATGCTAAAAACCCTTGAAGCTAGGCCAGCTGTAGTTCTTCTAAACAGAATTAAACAAAATCCAGCATACGACAACATAAAATTCAAAATGTCCAGCATCCAATAAAAATTATGAAATATACAAATAAGCAGGAAAATATAATACATACAGAATAGAAAAAAATCAATAAAAATAGATCCAGAAATGGCACAGATGACAGAATCTGCAATACGAATATTAAAACAGNCTAGGTGAATGCTCCATCCATCCCCCACCCCAGGTGTCCCTGTCGGGTCCAAGGAGGCGGGGTCCCCCCGTCTCAATCCAGCCGCCGCCGCCGCGCCCCGAGGCAGGTGGTAATGGAGGGGAAGTCTCGGCTTTGGCCGGGGCCCCGGGTTCGGGCGCATCCCAGGTACTGGAGGGAGGTGGGGCGGGACCCGGGCTCGGGACCCCGTGGCCGGGGCGCGGGGAGGGGGGAACTGGGGGAGCGGCGAGCGGCCGCGCGGCAGGGCCCGCCCAGGCTGCCGTGCCCCCTCCCGGCCCGCGGGCGACGCGCCAGCCGGGCCTGCCTCGCCTGCCCCACCTCGGGCGGGAGGGCAGGTCGGCTCTGGGCGCCCGCAGCGGAGCCGGGCACCTGGGCGAGATAGCGGGTGGCGGCGGAGTGATGGCTGGAAGGTGAGCACGAACGGAGAGGGATGCGAGGCAGGCTCGGGCACACCCCGGATCCGCTGCTTTAGGGGTTGGCAGTCGCTCTGAGTCACCGTGTTCCTTCATTCCTTTCATTACACATGGGAAGTACACCTCAGTAAGAAGCCTGACATGTTCATGAAAGAGATTCCATACATATGTATTAGATATATTACATTTACATGTGTACTACAGATGTATGTAATCTTGCTATAATCGAACAATTAAAAATGGATATGTTTTACGTACTATAGAACGCTTCCTTTTAAAGTCTGGCTTGTCGTATATTCACAGAGTTTTGCAGTTATCGCCACTATCCAAAGCATTTCCATCACCCCAAAATGAAACTCTCTTCCCATTAGTAGTTACTCCTAATTCCCCCTTTGCCCCACCCTTTGGCAACCACTAATTTGCCTTCTGTCTCTGGATTTCCCAATTCTGGAAATTTCATAGAAATGAAATTGTATAATGTGTTTTTTTGGGGGAAGTGGCTTCTTAAACATAGCATCATATTTTCAAGGTTCATCTGTGTTGTATCATGTATCAGTACTTTATTCTTTTTTATGGCTGGATAATTTTCCATTGTATTAATGTACCCCAGCAGCACACTTCGCTTATCCATTCCCCAGTTGATGGACATTAAGGATGTTTCCACTTTTTGGCCATTGAGTAATGCTACGATGAACATTTGTGTATATTTTTATGTGAGCATATGCTTTCATTACTCTTGGGTATACACAAATATGTTTAACTTTTGAGGAGCTGCCAAACTTTTCCAAGGTAGCGGCACCATTTTACGTTCTCACCAAACAGTGTATGAGGGCTCCAGTTTCTCCGCGTCCTCAGCAACCCTTGTTATTGTCTATTGGCTAATTTTTATTATAGCCGTCCTAGTGGGTCTGAGGTGGTATTGATTTGCATTTCCCTAATGACTAATCATGTTGAACATCTTTTTATGTGCTTATTGGCCACTCATATATCTTTTCTGGAACAATGTCTATTCAGATCTTTGGCCCATATTTTAATTGGGTTATTTGTCTTTTTGTTGTTGAATTACAATGTTCATGTGTAGACAAAAAGTCTAGGTTTGGGGGCTCGCACTGACTAAAATAGACAACCTGATATCAAGCAACATAATGCTTCTACTAGGGAAAGTTAAGTAAGTACCACCAAGTCTTCCAGAATACCCTGTCAATTCTTGGGCATCTTACTGCCCCTTTCCCTTTTCTGGTATTTTGAGAAAAGCCACAAAAGGTGTGTTCACGACTAGAGTCAAAAGAGACCACACACAGTTGGCGTTTTGATATATTCTATAGAAAAACGTCCCAGTCATCACTTTAATTTCAAATAATTTATTTTGGTGGCTAGCTAAACAAACTAATACAACTTAGCAAACACCAATTACTCAATTAAAATTTCATATGCTTCTCAGGCAAAGTGGAAGGTCTTGTTTTCCTAAGTTGTGTAGGCGTTTTTACAATTATATTTATATGTGGGTGGCAAATAAATATTTTTGATGGCGCTGAAGAGCCACTTTCAGCTGAATGAATGCTTCTTCCGTGGTTAATTTCGGAGTGCACACAAATCCAGCATTAGCTTCAGGTGTTTCGTAGCAAAAACTACTGAAAAAGACATGACACTTGCCTCCCAGGAATTCAAGCCCATTTTTCTATTACTCTAATATGACTGTTCAAAAGTATACTACCGAATAACAGAAAATAAAATTTTCCTGAGTTATAGAAAATAAAGAGTTCCAAGTGGAAATAATGGACAAGTAACTCATTAAAAGTGTGTGAAGAGCAGTCTAGTGCTGCTACCAAATTATCAGACAATGGAAACATTCTTTAACCCTTTTATGCATCATCCACTTCATTAATAGAATGAGGCTAATCATTTGAATATATAACCTGAGTATGTATTTTTATTATAGCTCACGGAATGGTTATTAAACATATTGAAACTATAACCTATCCAACCTAATACTGATTGTTACTGACTTACCCAATGGATATATAAATTTCCTGTAGCTACAAATGCTTTCTCAAGTTGGCCTTCTCGGCACCCTGGAATTTTTAGTGTCACTTATTGAGAAGGACTGAAAGTCAGGGGCAGTGAAAAGTGGGAACAACTTTGGGACGTGCTCTCTGGAACATGCTGGTCAGAACAGACCTGCCTCCTTTATGGTAGACTTCTAGGCACTCCTCATCTTCTCTCTGAAATTACTGTAGTTAGATTACTATAGCTTTAAAATAAAAATTTTAAAAATATTTAGTAGGGTTTAAAGGTCAGGGCCATCAGTCAGATATTCTTTCTTAATGTGAATGGACTTAAATCAGATTGCATTCCTCCTAATCAGCTGCGTTGAGGAAATGAGAGTTTTGACTAGAGAGGGGCTAGGAGAGGTAACTATGGGATCATGGAACATTTCGAAGGTTTGGGCAAAACTTGCTCTATTTCTAAAAGTGTGGTGTTGAAACTGGAGATCTTTGGACAGCCTCAGGGGTCTGGAAGGTGAGAAAAACAAAGCACGAATCAGAAAGGGCAAGCTGTGTTTTAGAAAGACAGATTCAACTTATATAGACATTTTTGCTCAAGAAAAACTCTAAATAGAAAAAGTGGAAGAAACCTTGATTTCATTTTTCTTCCCTTTTGCACCCCCCCCCACGGCTCCGCCCTGCCTAGTCAGTCTTCTCCTAGGACCCAGAAGTTGACTGGGATTACTACTGTTTATGTTGAAGGTTTTCAGTGTGCTAATTACACCCCTTCTCTCTCCAGATTCTGGTCAAAGTGAGATCAGATTCAAGAAGCCAGCTGAGGGTTAAAATATAGTTGTTATTTCTGATAAAGCTGGATTGGAGAATTTAGCATAGACATGTGCTTTCTCTAGTCCTTCTTAATTCACCTGCCCAGATGAAACTAGCACCTACAAAACTGCAAGTCTCTCTCCCTCTGGGAGGAGAAAGCCCTTCCTCAGCGTTATCTCATCAGGAGTTGGAATAGAAAGGAAAACTTTCTCACCTTGAAGGCGTGCAAATCCAACAGAGCCAGGGGAAGCTCAGGGATGGGCTTATCTGGAATATTGACCTTTATCCCCATTTTAGCCACTAGATAAGTCACTTTCCTGAGGAGGAACCACTGATGGGATGGCGAGAAAGAGGCGTGTCCCTTCAGTCCTGAGTTCTGTTGTTGCAGAGAGGGGAATCAGCAGCCATCTTCTTAAAAGCTAAGCGTATTGGTGAGTAATAGCGCTTTATAAGCTAGCTTAGGACCTTAATCATCTTTTGTATAATTGCAACTGAGAAGATGTTTTTCTTGGAAATCACTTAACAGTTTTTAAGTGGATGATCATTTCATTGTGTGGTTAAATATATAGATTATTCAAGTCCATTTCCTCATTTTACTCCTCAAATGTTTGTCAAGTGTCTAATATGTCATAGGCACTAGGCTAGACCCTCGGTATTCATCAGTGAACAAGAATGGGTCCTTTCTCTCATGGAGTTAATAGCCTAGAAAGGCAACCAGTACAAGTACAGTTACAATAAAGCATAGTAAATGTTAGAAAGCATGGAATACTTGGGGCTGAAACAGGGCCTGGTTGGTATCCCCACAGTAGAGGCCTCTCCATGTCTCTGGCCTCACCTTTACTTGACCTACCTGTAGCTTAACAATTGATCATCCCCCTGTGGTTTAAGCATGGACTGTCCCCTGCCCCACCCAGTTCCCTGTTTTAGAAAATTACCTGAAACTTATGATTAATACCCTTAGGCTTATTGGTCACAATCTCAGTGGTCTACCAGGCTAATCCCACCATTGTTCCTGGGTTGCTGACTCCACTATAGAATCACGTGGCCAGAGGGAAGGCTCCATGCAGAGCCCTGGAACCATCACGTAGCCTCTGGAGGAACGCCCAGATTTTCCCTTAAAAACCCCAAGCCAGTCTGAGAATGTTAAGGCAGTCTTTGGAGGTGTTAACCCACTGCCTTCTCAGACCACCAGTGCTCTGATAACAAACACTTATTCTATGGCCCAAATCCTGTGTCCGTTTATTTGCTGAGTGACGCAGGCAGCTCGAGCCCCCGGACTCCTTTGGCCTCTGGTTTCAGGACTACAGAGGTAGAAGATGAAGTAGCCAGGTAAAAGGGAAGAGTGAGGGTGAGCCAGAGTGTTTCAGGCAAAAAGGACATGTAGAAAGGCCAAAAAGTGTGCAAGTGTAGTATACCAAAGTATTATAGTATTTTTCAAGCTTCAGGCACCTAGGAACCTACCAGTAGATGGTAAAATCAATTTAGTGGATTGTGACCTGTATGTTTTAAAAAAGAAGTAAAATAGAAAATAAGAATGTGTCACACATAGATAATTATTAGATTGTGATGTATAAGTTAGATAACCCCTACATCAGAGGAACCCAGAAATCCAGTATGAGAACAAGTGAAGGTGTTGAGCAGGTGGGGAGATTATGCAGGATTTGGTTAACCGTATTAAAGACTTTGGATTTACCTTAGAGGAGATGAGAAGGCACTGAAAAGTTTTAATCAGTGCCTGATTAGATTTATATTTTCTAAGATCCCTTTGTGTGCCTAGTCCTTAGAATATAAACTTCAAATTCCTTGGTGCAGTATTACAAGTATTCCAAAATTGGTTCCAGTATCTTTTTCTAAAGAAACATTCCACTATTTTTGTACTGGACCTTTCCATTTCATAGATTCCTTGTTTTCCTAAGTGGCTTTGCACTAAGACTGAAACATCTATAAGAGCAGGTCTTGCATCTTGTCTCATTCATGTTGAATCTATGGCGTTTAGCATAGTGCCTGGGACCCAGTAGGGACTAGGCGAATCTTTGTTGATGGAGTGTAAATACCCTTAATATGAAAACTCTTACACAGTAGGAGAAATGACCTTGATGTTTCTAGTAATACTTGCTTTTGGAAAAAGAAAAAGGTTGGTTTGTTTTCCCAGAAAATTTTTTTTCCTAGTTGGAATCATGTGACAGAACCACATTCCATTGTTTAAAAAAATAATTTAACAAAAGATAGTCTTATGTTGTATTAAAATAGTAGTAGAGGTAAGAAAAACAACATCAAACTTTCTGATTTGGAGGTTTCTCCCAAGGAGTACAGAGCAATAACAAATTTGTCACAGGAGGAGGCACTCCAGCAGTCATTTATATTTTGTTTGAACAGAGAGGCAGGCATTCTCTGAGTGCTTATTAAAAGGTATTTTTATAAAGATGGCTGGGGACAAAGGAAATAAATTAAAATGTATCACTCATATGAGATTAATGGAGAGGCAACAGAAAATAGATTTTGATCTTAGAGGAAGTAAAAATAGAACATCTGTATACCCCAAGAACTTACAAATAAGAATTTAATTATGTCAGTTTGTTGCCAGAGAATGATTGTACAGTCACAATACTGTGACTTCACAGAATTAGATTGTGAAACCCAACTGTGAAGGAAAAATTCTTTCAGGGATGGTTTTGATAAGTGGCAAGAGAAGTTATGAAACATTCATGAAAGGTAGAGCAATTTCAAGCTCTGAATCAGATTTCTTTTTAATGTACTTTTGAGATGTGGAAACTTTGCTAATTAGTTTGTAAATTAGATTTTATGTATCTTAAACATGAATGCTAGAATCAAAATTTGCTAATATAGCATGGCTTTTAAAACTCATTGAATTTTGTATTTTTATGTTCTGCAGAAGCCCTATTTTAAGCCATGCATCGCAGAACTTAAATGGAAACCAGTATAAATTTATCCTAAGGAAATAATTCTAGATATGGGAAAGTATTATGCAAAAAGATGTTCATTTTCACTGCAATATAATTTAGTCAAGAAAATGCCCTGCTATAGGGAAATGCTTCATTAAAATGGGGCAATCCACTTGAAGAAATTTAACCATGGAAAATGCTTTTTTAGAGCAATGATATCTTATTTATTACTATTTAAATTAAAAAGTAAAATTGCTCAATATAAACAAAAGTTCAAATAATATAAAATACGCAGAGTTTTAAAAAGTGAAAATGGTATTTCAAGTTCTTTTTGACCCAACCAATTCTAGGCCAACCCAGTTCTCTAGAGGTCAGTGCTCTGAGCACTTACTTTGGTATCTGTCCTTCCAGGCTTCTTTCTAACCCAGTGGTTTTCATACTGTGCGCCAAGGAGGGGTTTGTTTCAGAGTCTTCTCAAGTGAGGTAATGTGGGAACCGAGTGGGTGGGAACCTGCACTGCTTTGCTTTTCCCTGCTTTGTATGTTGGGATTTCACATAAGATTTCATTTAAACAAAGAATTCCTCTGCATTAAAACTAAATGTTGAAAAACAGTTGACTTGATTTAGAAAAAGAAGTCAGGAATTCCAGATCTTCCCCAGTTGACGGTTTTGCTGCTTGGTCACGAGAATCTGCTCAGACCTGTCTCTTCATTGCCCAGCAGTTTTCTGCCTGGTCACCATGCACCGTGTTAGAATACCCATCCCTTTCTCCCCCGCCCCATCTCTCTAAATCTTACTTGCTCTGTAAAGTTCAGCCCATCGTTTTGTTTATTCCTCCTTTTACAATGTGTTTAGTGAACACCTATACCTTGAATAATATTAAGTGGTGACGCTGCAGAATTTTGTATCAAAGCACGTAGACAAGTAAAGGGGTGACTTTCATGTAAAAAAGTGCAGCAATGTATTATAAAGGAAGAACATTTGGGGTGCAGGTACTAAAGATATACATGGCTTCTTCTATGCTATCTTATAAAAAGGGCATTTTATAATACAGTGACATTTCTGGGTCTTCGTTAATTATTTGTTCATTTATTGATTGATTAATAGAAGATAATACAGAACGTGTACCTGTGAGTCAGGGATGAGACCGGGAAGGAGCTGTTTTCGCTCTTGAGCAATCAGCTATGTTAAAAAATAACTTGAATCCAATTTACTGGATTCAGTGCGGGGCATGAGTAGAGTTGGGAGGGGGCACTGGAAGGACCCGGGTTCTGTAATCTGTGTCCCCCATGACCACGTACACTGATGTACAGGGATCACAGCACAAGAGAAGGCCTGTTGTGTCTTCCTTATCATTAGCGGGTTAGTATCATTAGCGGGTTAGTCAGACAGTCGTGAATTCAAGTCCTGTGTCTGTCTTACTAACTTTATAACTTGGGCATATTACTTACCTTCTCTGAGACTCAAGTTTCCTAAATTTACTGTAATGTGTGAGCAGGTCTATCTCCAAGGGTTTTTAAAAAAGGATTATATGAGATAAGTACATATAAATGATGTCTATTCTTTTTGCTTTAAGTGGTATTGATGTTCTCTAAAATGGGTGATTGTGCTCCTTTGGGTTTAAGTTTTTATGTATTTTGGAGGATTTATGGATTTGGAGGATTTATGGAGTCTTCTAGTTCTTTGAAGAAGTGTTTTTTTTGTTTTTTGTTTTTTTTTAGTCTGAGAGTGGTGTTTTGATAAGCTATTTATATTTCTGGTAGGGTAAGTATAAACAATGTAGGAAAGTAATAGAGCCAAAGGAACATATAGTGAGGATATAAATCTTTTTCATCACTATCCAGTGTATTCTCCATGGACTTAAAGCAGACAGTTATATCCACATATGATCCAAAAAGCAAAATGAGTAGGTAGCCCCAGAGTTTAAAGCCTGGCCTGCTATTTTCTTCATTATATCTGCCACTTTTCTGTATCTTTTAGATAACAAACAATTAATAAAGAATTTTTACAGTAACAGTCTAATTCTCTTTAAAAAGAAAATAGAAAATTCTTGGATTCTAGTATTTCTAAATTATAAGGTTTCAGAATAACTCCAGGCAAACTCATGATGCATTCCACCTTTGTGGTTGGGTAGACTTGGTTCTCTGGTCCGGAATAAACCTTACGGCATGGATTAAGGTAGTCTGTTTTATTTGCTGATTGTAA